ATTATTGTTTATATTTTTCATAAATTTTTTATTAAAAATATTATTTATTTATCTCCACCCATAATTTTAACTAAAAAATTTATAATAATACAAGGAAAAAAAATGTCAAAACCAATGGCTTCTTAACTAAAAACCTTATTTTGTAAATTATTTTATTCTAAATATTTTTTAATTAAAAAAATTAGATAAAAAAACAAGAACCAAAGTGACCAAAATAAAGAAAAAAAGAAGGATCAAAATGAAACAAAAAAAATTACAAACTGAAGAAACAATGTTTAAAAAAGGAATCAAAATGTAATATCATGAAAACTTTCATAATAAATACTTTTAGAAAATTTAAAAACTACAAAAATACTACTGTATAGTGAAATAAACAATACATATTAGTCTATATAAATAATAAAATGAGTATGGATTTGAAATAGTGCTAATAAATAGTGAATCAGTATTTTGTTTTAGTTTATTTTTGTTAATATAAATGAGTTTATTATATTATGAAATCCACACGTCACGTGTCAATTATTTATAAGTGTGATTTAACAATGTCATATATGGTGGAAAAATAAAAGAAGATTTCAAACAAAATTAAACGAAGAGTAGTAATAAAATTAAAAAAAAAATAGAATATCTCAATAAAAAAAATCAAAATATATATAGTTTAGATACGGAGAAAACCCTGCTTGAAAAGTAGTTCTCTTTTCTTGTTCACTTTTCATCTCTGTTCTGCCAATTGATTATTTTTCCATGAAAACATGTAAAATATGTCGTTACATGCAACTTGCTTCCTTTTTTCGTGAAAAAAGGAGTGGCTAGCTCCAAATTCGAGCATGCTGGTATATAGGCTTGTCAATTTACTAGACTGCTTTTTGACGAGTACATATTCCTGCATGTGCACACACTAGAAGTTCTAGTTGGCCTCAGAACACAGAATGGACCCAAGGCGTAGGCAAGGCATATAGCCATGGACCAAAACAGGAGAGAGAATGTGGAGCACCTTTTTTGGCCTGAAAACGAATGATCGGCGAGATTGAAAGCGACATCGATATCAGGCTCCGCTTCGGGAAAAATAACTTCAATAGGAAAATAAATTTCATAAGAAGTTATTTCTTAAAAAATTATTTTTTAAAAAATATTTTCTGTTATTTAATAATTATATAAAAAAATTGTTAAAAAATATATTATAATGTTTGTTTGATACAGAAAATTAAAATACAAAAATAATATGTGATTATTACATCAACAAATTTTAAAAAAACTTCAAAAAAGTATATTCATAATTTCACAATATAAGATACATTTATAAAAATTTAATAAATTTTTATAAATAATGACTCTGAAATTTTAATTCAAAAAAAATACTTTTTTAATCATTAAACCAATTTATCAAAATTACTTAGGACAAAATCAAGGCAATATTCACATTTAGTAAAAAAAAATTCTAAATAATCCTAGCATTGTTATTTTGGTAACTCAATTAAGAATTTTTTTTTTTTTTTTTAGAAATTGAACTGATAATTTAGTCTAAAATATAGTTTTATAAATTATTAGTTATCGTTTGTAGATAATTACTCATTTGGTTTCAAAAGATTAAAATTTTACAATTGATTAAAATTAAAAATTATTAATTTAGTTGCAAATGAATAGCATTTGAAAAATAATATATTTATTAATAAATTAATTAATTTTAATAAAAAAAATTAAATTATACGGAGTCTAAATATGCATAAAACCCATCTTTTAGAACCTTCCAGATTTATAAAAACTGAAATGTCATTGGTAAATCCTTGGAAAAACCTAAATTGGTCTCTAACACATAAACTCATTCTTAACTGTTGAGTCCTAAAATAATGCATTTTGTTAATTAGATCCCATATGTTTCATGTGTCTTGATGGCGTCATTTTGTAATTGTTTATTCATGTCTTCCGTCTAATACATCTATTTAGACAATTTCATACTGTAAAGTGGTGTCTTTAAAAGAAAAATTGGCATAAAAATTATTAAAAACAGAAAAGGATTTTATTAAGCAACATGTAAAATATTTGGGATCCAATTGATAAAATTGTTTGATTTGAAACTCTATTTAATTAGGTGATATGCTAAGGGCTAATTTGAGGATTCTCCTAAAGTTGATTAAATTCAGGTTTATCTCGTAGAAAAAGAAAATTTAGACAAACCATTTAAATAAATTAGAAGCAGATGATAATAGGGATGATGAACCGGCAAAGAAAAGTTAACGGGACAAAAATACAGGGCAGGGTTATCTGGGGAGGTCTTTTTCTAAGATACAATCCCATGCCCGAATCTTCAATGTGTTATCTTTAAGATAAGCCGGACAACTCCAGGTTCAGCGTCGACAAATTGGCTGATTTATAGGACGTAAAAGATAGGCATGAAAGGGATGGATGGGTACAATCACATCCATAATGGATGAATGGTTCAACATTACCTAATTTGATTTTTTTTTTTTTTCCCTCGGCATCTTCATGATAAAGAAAAATATTTGTCATATAAATTAAGTACTGTAGCTACTACGAACACATAACAATGTAATAATAAATCAACATGTAGATTATTCGGAAGACTTTGACTGGATAGTAGATAGGTCTATTCCTTATACTATAATTCCTTTTCCAATCATATGTATAATATAAGAAATACATCTTATATGTCAATATTACAAAAAAAAAAAAAAAAAAGAAGGTAAAATAATAATAACAACAATAAATAAATAAAAAGTTGGTGATTGCAATAGCTCGGATCCGATGTAGATAGTTCATTAAAAACTTGATTAGGAAAAAAATATTTTCAATGATAAAAAAAATTACAAAAAGACTCTAATTATTAAAGAAAAAATCGTGCCACTAAAAATAGGATAGTTAAACTATCCACATCGATGCTAGGAGATATTGCTTAGCCTGAAATCTAAATTTTCATCCCCAAGAAATGAGCACACTCTTAACCACTAAACCAATATCCTTGAATCATATTTCTTGTCTTGTTCTTAAAAGAAACATATAAAGTTTTTCCTGATTTTTTAAACTTTTTGTTGCAATGGACCGTCTGCTTTTGCAGAGCCTGAGTTGGAAGTTACCATTATCCAAAAAATCAAAATAGTTTTGTGATTGGGGATCTCTCTCTTATTGGGCTAAAAATGTTAGATTCAATTTAGGGTTAGGCCTCTCAATACTTATCGAATTCAAATAGAGAGAGATTAATTAGTGCTGATCTGGGCCTTATGAAAAGAATCGGCTCTGCTTTGCAATCTGAGGCCTTTTGCATGGGTAGGCCTACAGATTATTTAAAAATTGCAATGGGCTTATTTGTCTTTCCTTTCTCAAACAATCTAGTGAAGGATTCTCAAATTGCAGGCCTAATACGGTTTGCAACTAACGGCCTTCTGGCCCAATCACAAAAATTAACAAAAACTAGTTAGGTGGATCTGATTTTACCTTTTTTTTTTTTTTTTTTTTTTTTCTGTGGCATTGATGTTCTGACACGAGCCAAGATCTGGGTGAAATATAAAATCCAAGTCTACAACCCTAACGTTTGATAAACTTCCACCTAAAATAAAATAGGAAATGTTTTATGCATATAATATCCAGTCAATCAAAACGATGCCATTAAAGAAGGGAGAAATTTCTAAATGAAATATTTTATACTAACCATTAAGCCACAATCAAGATTATATTAATAGCTTCATGAGGTAGCTGCCAAGAGCACCGATATTATTCACTTGATCCAGATCCAAATCCAGATTCCTAGCTTCTTATCCTTAAAATAGAACATACTCATAAAATAAATTATTTTAACTAAAAAAAACATAAAAATATAAACGGTGGCAGTCTGGCAGATAAAAAAAAAGCAGCAGCGGAGAAAAGTACAAACAGCCAGATTGGACTATTAAGAAGCAACATGTGACGTGCACGAGGCTGGAAAACAGTTGGCTTCATTACAGTATCCATCTCCATTTTTCTTACTGGCTGTTGCTTGCCGTAAATATTTAAATATTAGAGACTTTGATTACACGAAACCCATTAGGTTGGAGTTAGGCCATCTTTTTTTAACAAAAGCCTTTTGATTCATTCCAGCAGGTGCACAAAAGTTGTTCGCTGTCACATGGAGGTAGCGTGTTGGGAACAAAGTTATCCAACACTCTCTGGATTAACCTGACTTACCTTCGAAGCTGAAAAAAAATTGATTCTGTTGAAACTTCAACTTCAAATTCCTTATCATGCCTATTCTGTGATTGTGCGAATTATTTTATATAATATTGTTTTTCCTGTTGTAAGTACATTCCTAGTAGTTTCAAAATCATTTACACCTATTACGTATACAAGAAACTAACCTCTCGGATTCTAACACAAGGAGATAACATGGGAACCAAACATAATGTTGAAAGTCAAATCATCATATTAATCAAGATTCATAGTCGAAACCGATGGCTTTGCTTTTACAAATTGGAAAGCGCATGCTGCAGTGAGAAAGAGCAAAATGCCATCACCCTTTAGTTGTTTTTGTTGAAGCAAATAATTAATTGTGAAATTAATACAGAAGAATCGTATTCCAAAACTAAAGAACGCCGCATATCTCATCAATACTGACTCGGCGATCATTCCCGCTCATTCTTGATACGAATTTAAAAAAAAAACAATAGAACGGAGACAGCAAGAACAAGAAAATTCAGAAAGGAACATCAACAAAAGTTACAAAACAGCCATCACAAGCAAGCAACAAAAGACAAGATCCCCTTTCTATGAATTTTTCTGTTCTTTCAATTCTCAAATAAAATGTTTTACAGTGAATAAATCAATGAATGTGGAAAAGAAAAGACAAAAGTAGATTCTGTTAGAGTAACCTTTATTCCATCAAATCATTTACAGATGCCAACCTCTCAGAGTTTGGAAAGGTGGCAATGAATCAACTGAGTATGAAAATACTACATAAATTCGAAGAATTTGTACATTTCCTGTTCGTGTCAACATATTTCTTTCTTTGTACATCATATTGAGTGGATACCTTCAGCTCCATTTCTAACAGCATGAGCATCAGTAATCTTCAGTATAGCAGTCTGATTCTTGCTATGTTGCTTAGCTTGATGTTGAGACCAGTAAGCATGAGCAGCCAAGACTCTGTCCAAGAGCTCCTGGGGCACAGGCTCACCCCTTCTTTGCTGAGGGGCAATCTGAGCTGTGTGAACCAATGTCTTCCATTTATCCTGCACAAACCCAACACTCTAAGCTACCAACAAAAAGTTTGATATTGCTAAAATCACAAATCTACATGGATACAACTCCTCCTCGCAGGCATCATTGTTAGTCCTTACTCCTTAGCATGGATCAGGGTGAGTGTACCACCTATAAGAACTAAGTGGGAGAGGGACTGTACAACCTGAAAGACCATTTACCTATTATTCCCTATAGTCCCACTGGAGGGGAGTCCTAAAAAGAAGAATTAGCAGGGCTGTACAGCCTGCCTCCACAAATGAAATCCAATCACATCGCATTCTCAATTCTCAACCAAAACTCCATTGACAGCATCCAATTATGAAAAAACTGCTTCCAATCCTACGAATTATAATATCATTTTATATGGAAAATTAAACAAAACCCTTACCTTCAAGTCCACATAAGTTCGATGGTCTGCATCTTCAAAAGAACGCAATTTAACATCACGCCACCTGCAAATGAGAATATCGTTAAACTTCAAAAACGTATGCACAGCTTGCTTTGATCAGAGGTTCAGCAAATAGAATGGAACCATACCTTCCAGTGCCTAGTTCCTCAACTGCATGCACAAGTGCTTCTACTTCTGACACAGAGAATGGTCTCCTGGTTCGACGCTGTGCAAGTTCAGATCGCTTTGATTTCTGGTTCAAAGGAACCATAGCAAGTGCCTCAGCATTCATTGGTGGAACTGCAACCAGAGCTCTGGAATCCGACTGTGTATTGTCAGTTTCTATGTCAGTATGGGAGGAAACTGATTCGTGGTTACTTTCAATATTAGCGTCCAAATTAGTCAATGGAGAAGGATCCAGTAAGGCATCAGAAATTCCCGAATCTACAATAGGAGTGGTTGGAGTCCTGGAAATAAAGCAAAAAAACAGATTAAGTTGTAGCAAGCCTAATATAATTACTGCTTGGTTTACTATTTTTAACTCAGCACGAAAAGAAATTGTATTTTGTAAGACAAACACCATACAAATTCCAATACCTTGGAATGGTCACTCATCTTAAATTGCCCATCAACACAAATTCAATACAAAACACATTTCAATTACCTCAATATACGTTGAGATGTGTCACATGGTAATAGTGCTGGAGGATCTTCAGTGCACAAGGGTGGAGGAACTTGCACAGGACTAGGCTCCAATGAGAAACCCAGAGTATCAAGATTCTCATTGGAAGTGATACCAGTCTGCAATAGGGTTCTACTGTCGTCCCTAACCTTCTTTCCATGAAGAAGCACCCCAACTCGTAAACCACCTCCAAGTATAGCACTCACAGCCTCCAGTACACGCCTCTATAGAGAGTCACATAGAAGCAAAATACAACATCAGGAACTCAGCAAGACATGAGCAGTATTTTAGCCCAACAAACTTGTCTTAAATTTCCGTGCCAATAATTAAATTACAAACAGCATCTAGAAAGATAATGATTCTCATTGAGTCATTTTTTAAGGAAAGAATCCTAATTTATAGCAAAAGAAAAAATAAAACAAAGCGAAGAGTGGCAGTTATGAAATCTTCTAGATGTACAGAACATGTACATGTGATAAGTAAACACTAGTAGAAATATATAAAGACAACACATCTAAAGATTATCCTCATTGTGTTTAACATAACAAAATGGAAGGCTGCAAATCTATTATACCTTCAGCGAACCAACAGTTGCAGTTTCTGGGACCTCAATCAAAAGCTCCGGAATTCTGAAGGACTTAATACTAAACTTCACTGTTCAAAAGAATGAAACACGCATAAGAACTTTTCGATGCCAGGAAAAACAAATAATAACTCATTGTACATCAATTCTAAACTGGCTATAGTACCATGAGAATCCTTCGAGTGGAAGGATGCTTGATGACCCATAACAGATGATGATACCCCATTTGCTGCATACGATAACTAGAACTATTTAGGAAAACTCTAGAGAAGCAGAAACCAGGAAACTAGAGAAAATACAGCGGTAATATTAGTAATAAGGTAGAAAAGGACCTCCGTGAAACATTACAGTTGCGCCATTCTTGTCTCCAGTCATGTTCTTATCAGGTGAATTGCAAACACTTTCACTGCTGAACCCTCCATCAGAAGTCACAACTACACTACGGTCAGCAAACTTCCTCCTCTTATAAAAAGTGTCATGTTGATACCTTTCACGGCTGTAGCATAATTTTCTCTTTCGATAGTGAGTCTTCATCCCCCCTTCAAAAAAGGCCGAATGACAAGCTTCAATAATCAAAGAAAGATGCAGAGTATAATATAAATGAGTTACCAAATTGCTGCTTACCAGGTCTGGAAAGTTCACAATCCCTCAATTTTGGAGCTACTTTCCAGTATTTGGAAGTCAGTAACTTCCTTATTCTTCGGTCTCCAATTCGTTGCAGAGACCTAAAAGCCTTTAGCTTGGTTAAAGGTTTATTACACCTAGAAAAGTTTTCATCATCATATCGAGTACCTAATTTAGTATCATTCCTATGCCTAGAAGCATTGGGAACAGAGCCCTTGCATGATGGCAATTCAACATTATTTTCTGAATTGATCAATGCAGGAAATTTCATACGCATTTCTATGGGATCCTTTGAACTGCAGGGATTATCAACAGCCAAACCTCCAGTATCTAGCACATCACCCCCTTGCTGTCTATTAAATCCACTATTCACAAAACCATCACAAGACACCCTAGAATCAAAAGAGCCCTCAACTTTACCAGGGATATTTTCACAAGCGCTCTTGCTTTTGCAAATCACAGACTTCAAATCGGTACTAACTTTCTCTGAGGAATTAGAATTCGTGATCATTGAGGAGCGCTCCAGAATGGAATCGCTCTCAGCATGTGGAAATTCATTTAGAAGGCACTTTTGATCACTGTTTGGCGAGGTAAACTCAGTGACAAAAGCACTTTCTCCACAACTTCCATGATCAAGGCATTCTGCTCTCAATGGTCTATCTACATCTGGCTCACATTTCACACCACAACCAATTATAGGTTGATCATTTGCTTCAGATGCATTACTAGAAGCAGAACTTTCGCTCTCCTGCAGTAGCTTGCCTGCTAAGGAAGCGAGCAATTCAAATGCACATATTTGACTATCCTCATTTTTCTTCTTATTCAAACCCCTCCCCTGAAACCAATAACCAAGAGACAAAGGGTTAAAAGAGTGGTCGACATGCATGGCAAAAGCTAGGCAAACCTTAAACTGCAATAGATACATACTCTAGCTGATCTCGGAGCCCTGGGAACTGGGGGCATATGGAAGCCATTGAAACCATAATATTGTCTCTTCTTCCCCACCATATTTTAAAAATACATGACAATTAGAATACATCAAACAAAGAGCATTGCTACTCAGATCCGCTTATCTGTGAAAATATTCAAAAAAAAAAAAAAAAAAAACCAAATGAGAAAAGCAATAGTACAAAAGTCAAAAACATGATCCTGTCCCTGAGCAAAATTTTGCAGATATAAGACTCTGACACAATAATAATAATAATATTGCATTGCACATTTAGTTTTGATTAATCACAGAAATCAATAATTGTCATAGCTGACCCACCACTGACCACCCAAAACAGAGATCCATATTACCAATGTCTCATAACAGGCAGAAAATAAACAAAAATATTCAAGAAGGAAAAAAGTAAAGAGATGCTTATATGCAGACATGGGTCTGTACTCTAAATCGAATTTATCTCAGATTGTTTTTTTTTTTTTTGGCAGGATCAACAGTAATCTCAATATAAAAAAAATCAACAAGCAAATTATCATCAATCCGATTTAAAAAGGAAAGAGTAAAAAAAAAAAATAATAATCTTATCCACTGGAATAACCATATTAAAAGTAAGATCTCAAAAATCCGAAGCAGCGATCAATCACGAGAATGTAAAATTAAAACACAGAGAGCAATCACATGCAAGAAATTGGGTTTTAGGAGTTGCCATCCATGGTCCTAATTCCAAATCCAGAACTGGATTTCAATTTCCATAAAACACTCCCAGAAAAAAAGAAAATTCATAAAACCCAAATCCTCCCCAAATATATTATGCAAACTTAAAACCCTTAAAAATCCAATTAAAAACCGTTGTAGATTTTATTTGTAAAACAAATAAAAATAGAATTACATCTAAATTCCTTCAACCACAAAAACCAGCACCGTGATCATGAATTCTGCAGAATCCCAATTCCCAGAAAAAACCATTTCCACCTTACCTAACCAAGCCTAACTTCCACGATCAGAACCCGATCTCATAAAAATCTCACTAAAACCCAAAAACCTTAAAATTTTCACCATATGATCAGATTCAACTTTCTCAAACACAATTCACAAGAAAACAAAAAATTCAGAGGAAATCAAATTCCAACGAAATTCAATTCTTCACTCACCTTGTATTATAAACAACGATCGATCTTCTGTGTTAGAAACCTCTACAATTATGTACAGATTAACAAAAAAATGAAAACACAAAACGAAAATTCCCTGCAGAATCACAAATTCCGAGATCGGAGAACTCGAAGAAACCCAGATATCAATGTCACCCGAAAAACCTATTCAATTGAACTCTAATCTCTCTCTTTCTCTCTCTCTAGATTCTTTCTCTCTGTTTTTTTCTCTCTCAAAATGGCAATGCAAGAAACCACCAACAGACAGTGGCTTAAACCCGCCTTATATCCTTTATAAGTTTTTGACCACAAAACCGGACCAACAAGTTAACGTACGGGTAATAGGAGGTTGTCAACATAAACCCTTTTCTCTCTCCATGAATTTTTCAATCCTATATGGGTTTTGCCACGTGGCAATGTTGTAAATTATGCCATGGGTTTAAAATTTTGGGATAGGGAAAGGAAAAGGAAAGTGGACATGTGGGTAGTTATTAGAGTTTGACGTGGGCACTCTTTTATTTTGTTGGTCTACTTATCATGTGGGCCAACGACAATTTAGGTCCAGATGCTTAAATTTGTGGTTGATCTGTCTTGCCAATACTAAGTTTTGCCTGCCTCCCGTGCTTAAAATTTAGCGCAATTAAAAACCTGTCATCTCTAATCCTCGCTTAATTTTTCTAATTACATGGATCGTTTTCCATGTTTAAGCTGAAGCGAACTTATTATTTGACTGTAGTTGAATTTCATAGATCTATGGAAGTTGGTTCTCTTGTTTTACCTGATTAAGTTGAGTTGCTTATCTGGGGTAAAAAGAGATTAAAACTGACGAGGTGCCATTGTTAAAAAAAAATGATGGGGCTGGGGGGATAAAAAGATCAGCTCGGGTTTCAATTCAAGATTTCAACGAATATTCATCGAACATTCTCAATCTTGATATTATGGTATTGCAATCCAAAAATGGAAAATGAAAAAAATGAAAGGGGAATCGCACAATGTTTTTTTTTTAAAAAAAAAAAAGGTAAAATTTGTCGTTGACAAAACCAAGAGTGATGGCTAATGAAATTTTATTTATTTAGTTATTAATTCGGCACACAAGTTGCATGCACATTTAGCATTGCACGGAAGGTTAGGCTATCGCTACTTAATCAAGGAGCAATGCTGTTTTTTTTTTTTTAAGCTAGCTGGTGGGTTTTGTGAGTAAACTGCCGTTATTCTTCGTTTTTAATCGGACGGTTTTCATTTATTCCCTTATAATAACAATAAAGGTTACAAATGAGTGACCGGTCTAATCATCTCCGAACTCTTGGTTTTCTGCTCCAGAAAGCTAGTTTTCCTGCACTCCCCAAGTCTTACTGTGCGAACAGATGCAAATCGAACAAGAGGAGACCCATTACCATCTAATGATCGCATCATTTCTCTTTCCAAGGATATATTTCCTTCCTTCCTTTTTTTCTCTTTTTTTATTCCTTGATTGGAAGTAACTGTGCACACGTCATCACCGTGTACTGTCTGTATTAAGCGAGACTGCTGTGTTTGTTTGACAATAATTGCTGTATAACAAATTATTAGAGCAACTGTCTTGATAAAATATTCATATCAATTAAATTTGAATAAAATAAAATAAAATAAATTCAATGAGATAACTAGTATGATCATTTTATCAATATCGGCATTTTCAGTAACTTCCGAGTTAATTGACTACTGTTGGTTGCAATTTACAAGAGCATAGAATAGAATTTGGAGAGACTATTGTTCATTACCAGGTAAATCCATCCTCAGCAAATTGCACGATGAAGGTGGAGGATCGGCCACCTTAGGATGTCGAAAACCGCTTTTTTGGTTCAAGATAGGATTAGATTCTCCAATATTACTACCACATCACTAGTGATAGCTAACCCATCAACTCATCCAACGAACAAATTAATTTGATCCGATATGAAAGCTTCATGGATTTTTCCTTTTCATTGATGGGAGCGTGATGTGGATTGAACCAAATGATAGAAACCGATCCTTATCCTTTGAAATATTTCTTACGACAACAAAAAACTTTGCTAATTAAATCAGTCAACGTCCACAAACTGTGATTACTTAACTTGTAGTATTAAAAATAAGAGCGGATGCACTCAAAACACGTGCGAAGTTTTTAAGGCGCGCGTGCCTTTCGTAGTCTTTTAATTAACTTAATCCTTGCAACTAATTTAGATGTCAAAAACAATCACATCTGTCCTACGTATATAACCATTTATGTCTGTGTATATGATATTTTTTGTTGATGAACTGTCAAAAACAATTACATTATTTTTATAGGTTTAATGACACTAAAAATTCTTGTAGTTTTAATTTGAATAATTAATTTTTTATTACTAATAAATTGTTAGCTCAATAATAAATGAACTGATTAATCGATAATTTTTTAAAAAATATGCACGGGTAGGTAAAGGTTCTTTCATCTGTAATCAACATAATTTTAGGATGTCACAAGCTAGCTTTCTATTGATTCAAATTTTAGAAAAAAAAACGATTAAAAATTAAAAAGCAATCCAAAAAAAGTTGTTAAAGTTTTTTTGCCAACTTTTTTATTTGTTAATGCCTATAATTTTTTTATTTATATTGAAAATTATTTTTTAAAAGACAAAAAATTATATATTTCTTATATTTTTAATTAATTTATGCCGAACTTTTTATTATTTTATTATAAATTTTAATTTTTAGCAATTTGTTTATTTATTTACCACAGACACAGTTTTTTTTATTTTTTATTTTACTTTATCTTGAAAAATATTACTTTATTCTGTTACTTTACCAATCAAAGATAAAATTATCGATTTACCAAAAAAGCATTCTTAATTCAATTTGCTTTATCTTGAAAAAATATTACTTTATTCTGCTACTTCACCAATCAAATATAAAATTATCGATTTATCAAAAAAGCGTCCTTAATTCAATTTGTGCATTTTTTTCTTGCAACCATTCACACAAAAATACCAATCATAATAAAAAGAAAAGAAAAGGAAAATAACAATGAACCTGTACAGTCGAGAGAAGGGTAAATTATGACATAAAAAACAACTATTTCTAGTTAAATATCGTGAAATATTTTAGGGCTTAAAGGGAAAAAAAAAAGAAAAAACAAAAAACAAAAAATCTCCCAATACCATGATCAGCTTCCATCGACTTACATATCCCTATCCGCACAACTCCCTAGAAAACGATATGTATCCAAATCGAGATCTGTATGATTGCAATAATTGTCCAATTCTATATAGTACATAAATACTTTAATGTACACTAAGAACAGACTACTTGACTGACTTGAGGTAACTAGCTATCGCAATATTAATTAATATAGTAGTTTTCAATTAATTCCTAGACAAAGAAAGGTCACGCCTCCAACAACCGATATTTCAGTCAAATGCCCACTTCATGACACCTCTGTTTTCCTTTTCTACCTCAGGTACTGTCCGATCTTCTACCTCAACTCATCCTCCAGAATTGAGTGAAGATTTACTTCAGGCAAGAAGATGGATTCTGCCTGACCCCGGATCTAATGGTTATCAGCAGGTAACTCCTATGCTAGTTGGCACTGTTAATTAGTCGGAGGCGGGGTCAATGGACAGTGATTCTAGCGTTCACGATGATTTTCCTGGTGAATTGGAGAAACGAGTTATGCCATCTCGTGGCAATTGACTTCATGAAGTTATTTTGTTCTTCTTTATTATCATAGTTTTTGTGATCAATAAGTTCAATATTATAGCATGGAATTGCCGTGGGGCAGGTAATTGGGATTTTCGTTCCTATGGAAGTGTAATGTGGTATTTGGTACATGTGGAACAGTGGGGATGTGAAGATTCATGCAGCTGGTAAACAAAATCCGAGTTTTTCTTTAGCCGTTGGAGTGGCAGAGATTAGCTATTAATGTACTCTGGTTTCAGAGAGGTATGACGACTTCTCCTATGTAAACGGGACGGTTACTGGGCTATTCCTCTTCTCGCACTTTTACAGGTGGGGGTCCGCTGTTCCCTGATCTTGATGCTGGGTGCATGGCGTCTTGGTCTTTCAGGATATCTTCGTCACACTACTATAACGGTGGATGAACTGGTAGCTATTAAACAAGGTCTCCTTCTGGCTTGGGATTCTGGTTTTCAAGTGACTATGTATGGAAACTGATTCTCATGAAGCTATCAGAGCGATTCACATGGGTGTTCTGCAGACTCATGCAGCTTAATTATAATATTGTTATAGATATCCAGTTTATTTGCAAATGTGACCGGAGTACTTCCTTTCAACCAGTTTTGAGAGAGAGCAACCGGCAGCTGATATCCTAGCTAAGATGAGGTCTTCGGGTGTCATTTTTCTCCAGGTCTGGTCTTCTCCTCCGCAAGGCATGGGTGATATCCTCGCGAGTGATGCCGCTGGCATCTCTTTCCTTAAGCACTAGCTGTGTTCTCGGTTATTCATATGCACCAAAACAGGGAGGAAAAAAAAATTAATCTCTACTTGCTTTGTCTTTGTCTGGTCAGCAATGAAATGCCAACAAAGGCTGAGCCAGCAAATATTGACTCCCTCAGTTGAAAGAAAATTACAGAGAGGAGTAAGGGCCGTAGGCATCTTTTTAATTTCATTTTTCTTCAATATCCAATCCGTAGGAGACTAGGGGAACATAATTTGTCTTTTTTTTTCCTTAAGGGATGAATGAGTTTGTTTTTTAAATTAATTTTTGACGCTCCCTTAAATGGTTTAGAATGGTTGCTAATCAAAGTGAGTTTGTTTGGATATCATTTAAGGCTCAAATCTTTCAAGAATTTGCAAGAAAATAATTTTTGTATCAACAAAACAATTCGAATATGAATAATTTACTTAAGCCTTGATTGAAAAAATAATAAAAGTGTACAACCGTTGGACATGATTATGTTTACTGCTAAGATAAACAAAAACCTTGTATAATGAAGAACAAAAATTTAAGAACCATAACATGATGCGGATCTTATTAAAAAAAACACTAAAACAGTGGGTTTGTTACTTTTTTTTTTTGTCTGTTCACTTACATTGAGTTTATTCTTGACTTCACTTAGCCTCACTGTGCTGCACTTCTCCATGTCTTCCGGTCCTTCATTCTCTCTTTTGTTTCATCTGGCTTCATTTGCTTTCGTTGATTTTCCTATCGTTTTTACTAGCATATATACCGTGTTGCTGTGGGATAAGCTATATAATATTCTTATGTGTCCATTCATATAAAATTTAAAATTTAAAAATAATTAAAATAATAATATGGTAGTTTTTTGAATTTTAGATGATTAATTTTTACCATATATTCTTCATCCGTAATTTGTTAACAAGATAAAGAGATCACCCAAAACAAAAACACAAAAAACTTTATCAAATCGAGAATTTGGTAAAAAAAAAAATAGAGATAAAATTACATACGATAAAAGTTAAATGAAAAAAAAATAAAAATCATAAAAGAATGATAAAAAAAAATTTCACTAAAAAAAAAAACTTATAAACAATAATAAGGTTGTGAACAGTTTTACTAAAAGGCAAAAAAAATATATATATTTATTATCGGGACAAAAATAAAATATAATAAAATTTTAATATTTATTATAGGGACAAAAAATCAAATATAATAAAATTTAAATGACTAAAATAATAAAAGGTTACAAAACAAGAACTAAAATAAAAATAAAATTCACTAAAAGCTAAAAGAGGGGCTTAAAAAATACGGAAAAAGTAAAAAATGATTTACTATAGGAATAAAAATTAAATATAATAAAATTTTAATAATTAAAAGTTACAAAACAGAGACTAAAATAAAAATAAAATATAATTTTAATATTTATTATAAGGATAAAAATAAAATATAATAAATTTTAATAACCAAAATAAAACAAATTACAAAACAGTGATTAAAATATAAAAAAATCACTAAAAGCAAAAAGAAGAGCTTAAAAAATACAGCAAGAGGAAAAAAATAAATTATTATAAAACTAAAAATCAAATATAATAAAATTTTAATGACTAAAATAAAAAAAGTTACAAAATAGAGATTAAAATGCAAAAGAGAAAGAGAGAGAGAAAAAAACCAAGCTACAAGCAAGGCAAGGCAAGGCAAAGCAAGGGGGAAAAAAGGAAAGAGAAAAAAAAACCCGAGCTATAGGCAAGGCAAGGCCAAAAAAAAAAAAAAAGTGAATAGTGAATAAACAATGACTAAAATAATAAAAGGTTACAAAACATGAACTAAAATAAAAATAAAATTCGCTAAAAGCTAAAAGAGGGGCATAAAAAATACAGGAAGAGTGAAAAATGATTTACTATAGGAATAAAAACTAAATATAATAGAGTTTTAATAATTAAAAAAAAGTTACAAAACGGAGACTAAAATAAAAAAAATAAAATTTTAATATTTATTATAAGGATAAAATAAAATTTTAATATTTATTATAAGGATAAAAATATAAAATAATAAAATTTTAATAACCAAAATAAAAAAATTACAAAAAAGTGATTAAAATAAAAATAAAAATCACTAAAAGCGAAAAGAAGAGCTTAAAAAATGCAGCTAGAGGAAAAAATGATTTATTATAAAACTAAAAATCAAATATAATAAAATTTTAATAACTAAAATAAAAACAAATTACAAAACAGGGATTAAAACGCAAAAGAGAAAGAGAGAGAGAGAGAGAAAAACCGAGCTACAAGCAAGACAAGGCAAGGAGAAAAAAATAAAGAAAGAGAAAAAGAAAATAACCCAGGCTATAGGCAAGGCAAGGCAAGGCAAGGCCAGTGTATATATATATATTGAATAAACAATAACTGAACAGTAGAACGCTACAGTACTTTAACATTTTGTTTTAGTTTTTCTTGTAATTCCTTTTCGAATTATCAATTTAGTACCCATGTATTGTTTGCTTAATTGATATTATGCCATGGAGATGTCTAAGTTATTTTCTTGCGTTTACTTTCTTCTTTTTCCTTTTCCTTTTTTGTTCATTTTTTTGCAACTTGCTACTTGTTTTGATAAAGCAATTAATATTCAACAATAATGTGTGTGCTGCACCTTTTAATGTAAGTTTTGATAAAATTATATTTATTTTTTTTAATCTTAGTTCTTATATCACAAGTATATTTTTGTTTGGTTTCTTAAATTTTAAAATGTTTTAAATCATCCTAAACTATATATGATTAATTTGAGATATATTTAACAAAAAAAAATATATTTTTTTTAATAGAGAGTGGATTTTATAATAGTTAACATAACTAAAGTTGTATTAATGAATAAAATAACTTTATATAGTCATTCAAAATAGAATAAAAAATCATCTAAGCTACCTTAAAAAATAATGATGATTTATTTTTTTATTAGGTTGATCGATTACACATAATTAATTATCTAACAATAAAAGTCAAATTCATAAACAACAAAATCATCAAAGTTTCTCTAAAATCAACCACCATTAAACAAAATGAAATTAATTTTAATTCTAAAAAAATATCCAAAACGAGTCGACAATAATGAAGAATGATAAAATTGTCCAAAAATTAATAGTTTAGGTTCTATATAGCCTAAATTGATAATATAGATCTTGAATTTTCACAACCTAATAGTTTGAAAGTAATTCTTACAATTAAACCGTCAAACTAATCTCTTTGATGGACAAATGTCTAGAGTTAAAGAAGAAAAGCTGTTAATATTTTTAATACCCTCAAGTTTTCTTTTCGCTTCTTTGGTAAACAAATTAGATTAATTGGGTTCTATTCTTTTCTTCTAAACTTTAAAGATTTTATATACATTGGTTAAGGAAAGAAAGACAAAAAAGATATGGGCATTAAGAAAATTGTCATTTTGGTTATTTCTTGATTAAATATACATGAATTTGTTACAAACTGTGTTTTTTTTTTTTAATGCCAAGAATTGCCGTTTAATTTCTCATATTATTATTATTATTATTATTATTATTATTTTGTAAAGTATTGCCAATGCAAGTATGGTTTTTTTATTTTTCAACAATTTATTTTAATTATTATAGGTTATTGGGTAAAAATTATGGATGATTGATCGTTGTTTTTCGGGTTTCTCAAACAATATGAAAACTATATATATATATATATATGTGTGTGTGTGTGTGTGTGCGCGCGCGCGCGCGCTTTTAAAATGAGTATATAATTCAAATCATATCACTCTTGTTATTTTAAACTTATTCTTTTAATTTTTAATTTTTATAAAAATTCCTATCCAACTGGTTTTTTTAGCTTTTTATTAAATTTTATTTATGAAAAAATATGATATTTTATTAAATTTTAGAACATTATATATATGTGTGTGTGTGTGTGTGTGTGTGCGCGCTTTTAAAATGAGTATATAATTCAAATCATATTACTCTTATTATTTAAAACTTATTCTTTTAATTTTTATTTTTTATAAAAATTCTTATCCAACTGGTTTTTTTAGCTTTTTATTAAATTTTATTTATGAAAAAATATGATATTTTATTAAATTTTAGAACATTATTTTTTAAAAACAATATAAACGATTGAATTCATATAATGGATTTTGATAATTTTTAAATCACAGCTTTGCATGGGAGACTTATGCAAAAGGATTGGCCATGTATGGTTTAGAAAAAAATATTTGTTTGCTTTATTTGCTACTTCTTTATGTAAGAAGAATTAATTTTATAATAGTTTTT